GAAGGTAATTTAAGATTTAGGTTTTCTTTCTTATTATCCCACTCTGATTTGATTGGTAATAAATTAAATTAATTTTCCCCAAGTCAAATGTATTTTGCCCATGATGGTAACTGGTGAGTGATCTCTCCCTGCCCTTATTTCATCCTGCAATCCTTTTGTTATATTTTCTCTCCCCTGTCCAGCTGAGGAGGAGGGTGATGGGGCAGCTTGAACGGGCACCCGGTGTTCAGCCGGGGTCAACCCACCACAATTATTTTCTAGCTCCAGTTAAACAAATCAGAGCAGAATCATTGTTTTTACTATGTGTTTGCACTGCAAATTACTAGCTCTTGTTATGAGGCATAATATTTGCAATAGGGCTTGGGTATAACATTTCTCTGTAGTGTAAATTCTGCAACTTGTAAACAAAATGTCAGTTACAGAGTAGTTCAACCTCTACACTTCAAGCCTGAACATATAAATCAACTGAACATATAAATCAACATCTCTTTAATGTTAATGAGCATTATTTTACTTACTTGCTCCTTGATCTGTGAAATTCTTATGCTCACTGCCTCTCTTCATAAAATACATTTCATTTCCTGCGCACCATGCACTTTTCCCTATAGTTTTCTTGCTCATTATTATGATAAGTAATATAATTTTTTTCTGTTTTCATATATTCAGAAGATGGGATCAGGCTTTCAATTAAAGTATTTGGAAACATGTGAACAGGCAGTAGGAATTGCTAAGAAAAAAAACTACAAAACCCAAAGGCACAAAGTGAGGACAGTCTCGGAAAATCAGACAAGTCACAGTAGTCAAGATAGGGCAATGTTAGGAGTAACATCATCCACCTCTAATTCTTCTACCAAAGCATCACTTTTGTTTCTCAAACACTCACATTAATTCTTTTCAAAATTAGACTAACACAACAATAAAAACCAGTGCAGAATCTCAGGAGACAGTTTAGGCAAAACCCAACCCTGATCTGAGTCTTGTGACATAACAAATATATAGGCAGAATTCAGATCTGTGTTTTCCTGGAGAAAACACCATGATGTGGATGGAAAGTAACATTTATACAGAGCACATCAACATGAGAATTTCACAACCTCAACCTAAACCCAAAGTATGGGACCATTGCTGCTAAAATTCTCTGAGGGAAATGCAGACCTGTAGAGATTATAAAAGGACAATTCCCTGTTCCCTGACCATGCTCCAAACCACTTCTCACTGCTCATCTCCTGTTGTTTTGCTCAGTCTAGGACAACAGAGTCAAGTGAGGTGGGCATTTATCTTCTTTTCCTTAGGAGATTACCCCACAGACAAATTAACACCATAGTCAAGAATTTTTACCCTCCATGTAGTTGAAGGTATTTAAAATACCAAGAGGTGTAAAACATGATTGTGTACATTTTAAGTTGGGGTTAACCACTTGTAGTCATCGCTGTGGAGGAGCTCATCCATTATACAGAATTACGTTGGTGCCACAGACTTCTTGTCACACACACATTCAGAACAAGAAAATAAGCATAGAGCAGAACAGGAAAAAAAAAAAAATCCATACAAGAGATTACAAAGATCCTGGAAGAGAAGGAGCATTTGTCAGTGCCTGAGTGAACCTTCTGCATAGCTCTTTTAATCTGCCTGTTTCTCGCCTATGCAAGAATGCCAGGCGTGCAATAAATTTCACACGTTCACAGCATAAATATATCCTTGCCATGACCTCTGGGACACTACACAAATCAGACATGTTCCCAAGCAGCCCAGCAACATCCACAGTTTAATCCGATGAGACACACATGTGGGTTCACAATTTAGAGAAGGAAGAAGAAATCCTCTCATTAATCTGCTCCATACCTACAGCACAGAAAACACAAGACAGCCCATTCAAGAGGTACCACAGTCAATGGGAAGTGAAAGTACTCAGCATCTTTCAGGAGGTATTCTACCTCTCTCAGGATCAAGGAATACTCCATTTCTTCCTTAGGGGCCTTCATATCTTTTGCTTCTAATAAAATGAAACTGCAGCTACCCACATTGATTTTCACTAGCTACAAGGCAGGCAGAAATGCTCAAATGTGATTTTTTCAGACGGCCTTGATGCTGTCACTAACAAGTGAGCAACTTCCTGTGAATATTTATTAAAAATTCACTGTGGCCTTAATAGACTTCAATAAATTTTGCTCTTTTCCCCTGCTACTTCAATTTGCTGGAAAGCCTGTAATGTTAAAACCATCAAAGTATGGCTGCTTTGGTTTACATGCAAATTGCAATCATCGTCGTTACATAAGTGGTTATGCAATGAAAATATACATAATATGCAAACCCGCCCATGTCACTGAGAATTATTTACAAGAGCTATAAATCAAGGTTGCATCCTGTTTTGGTTTACATTTAAGGACCTACTGCATACAAAATGTCATATATGCCCAAAATTTGCTTACAGTCACTGCACCCAAAAAAAGCCAACAGAATTGAACTGCCTGCTGAAGGCTATTCTTTAGTCAAAGTCCATGCAAAATTGTATTAGAAACTTTGAAATTAAAACGTGAACATTGACTACCAGAGAAGGCCCTAAAGACAAAGACATTTACTCAATGTAAATGTCCAGTGAAGGCAAAGGTCACCTCAATATAGATATACTTTCCTGAAATCTGACCATGTAAAAAACTCCACATCCTGTTCTAAAGGTTTGCTTAAGAGCTGAAATCTTTTCCTGGGAGGAATCAGCAATGAAATATTACTAACCTTGGTGATTAATTATGTTGTAATGGTCAAGTTATGATAACCTCACAGGACTGTAGAACCTCTTCTGTTAGGGCAGAGCAGTCTGATTCATCACATTACCAGGGCAGATCAGGCATGAGCAGAAGAGCTGCATGGCAAGCTAAGCCTTCAATTTGCAGGAAATGATGTTTTATCTGAATTGGTGGCTTTGGTCCAAATCAATCAGGGAAAAAACTCTTTTGAAAATGTCTACAAACTGGAAATTCCGAGAAAGGTCACTTCAGAAACATCAAACCACTTCCAAAACACAGATCCCAAGTTCCCAGTCCTGTGGCTGATCAGTGACATGATCTCTGGCAATGGCAATGGCATCTGCGAACACCAGCTCAACACAGTAGCTGTGGGAGCTCACAAAAAAACCTGGGGCTCCAGTGCAGCCTTGATGCTGTGGGCTATCCCAGGAAGCCTGTCCAAAGTCACAGCTTCATGTTAGGGAATGCAGGAGCTCCAGCAGTCCAGCCTCAGCCAAGACTCATCACTTCCAGACATGGATTGCAAAATGGAGCTTCCAGGATATTCCTGTTTTTAGCTTTACAGCAGGTTGGAAGTGGTAGCCCAAGACCACTGGCTGTAGTATCAAGCCCTCAAGCCCTAGACAGTCCTCAGTGCCATTGGACAGGCGACTCCATGACAGAGGTGGTTGCATTGCCTGGGATGACCTACCAAGAAATGCCCTAGGAACAAGGAGAGCTCAATTTGGCAAGAACACCAAATGGGATAACTCCAATCAAAACATTTCAGGGCCAGAAGATGTGTTATTTCCAGCTAAACTTTGTTTCACCAATAAATCTGTAGCATGGAACAGAAATATAAAACTCAAAGGCCTTACTCTCCAGTGCTTGCCCTCATACAGATTCATTTGTATTTATGAAACACAGTACAAAAAAGCACTTATTCAGACCAACTTTAAGATCTTGAGACAAGAAGCTGACACTATTATTTATGGGTACCAAGAATTCAGCAGCAATGCCTCCAGCTACTCTGTGTGCTCTGGCTGCTCCCTCCCACTTCTACACCACAAGGTACCTCCTCAGATCTCTTGGCAACTGTTCACAGGGTTGAGATGAAAAATTTTCAAATTTTTGGAATAAGATAGAGTTTTTGTTCTGTATAGAAAGGCAAATAATGTACTGAGAACAAGGCAAAGCAAAGACAAAGTGTGACCTCTATATTTGCACATCTGCTTCAGTTCACACTCCAAGTGAGATTTGTTATTAAAAACTTCAGGTAACTGATATGCATTTTGAAGAATGTGAAAGAACAACACTGCTTCCCAGGAAGCACAGCAGGACAGTGTAACACTTGCTTTTGGTTCTGCACTGATAATTCAGGACTTCAGAGGAGGATCAGTTGTTTGCGGAATCTCAAGTATATGATCTAGTGCCCTGAGGTTCCCTGATTTATTTATGACTCCTTTTAACAAAGAGAGATTAAATCAAGTTTTCCTGTAGAAACCAATCCCTTTTTTTCTTGTTGAATGTGTTTGTTATCAGATCACAGAAGCATATTTTAATGCAACACTACAACTACTTTTTCATCTGCAGTATACACTTAGATGGCTATATGACTTAAAGAAAAGAATACATTACTTGCAGGAGTCTGAGCAGATGGTGATGGTGTATGTGTCAGCTACTCTGGTTTGTATATCTTGGGCAAGGTTCCTTAGACTCTTTTTTCAGCATTTTAACTTCTCTGACTACCCTGGTTCACAACAGAGCCTTTGAAACTTGGTTACTATAGTAGAAAGCTAGGCTTCATCACCCAAAGAGTTAGAAATTGAACCTGAATCAGCATGTATCTTTTTGTCCCCATGCACTGGCTTGGGCATTCTGGCCCAAGGTGATTTGAAATGTAAGAGTCTTTTCAAAGTACTGCCAACTGAAAGTTCTTTTCTGTTAGTAGATCCCAACCAAGTAATTCTATCACCACCACCACAGGGGTTCTGGGAAAGAGGCTGCTGGCTCTTACCTGTGGCTTCACACGTGTTGTAGGGTGAGAAATCATTGCTGCTCACCAGCCTCTGCTCCGGACACAAACTACATTCTGGAGTGAGCGAGAAGTGAGGTGAAAGCAGAACAGAGACATGCTAGACAAGGTCTAAGACAAGTAGGCAAGAAGATAGAATTGCTGGGATTAATAAGGAAGGCACTAGTTACTTCTTTCTCCTGATTAGCAGGGTATTAACAGGCATAAAACCATACAGCAACGCCTGGCCCTTCCCCTGAAATCACACCTGCATGAAAACAGAGCAGCACAGCATGTAAGTCCAGGCTATGCTGAATCCCCACAAAATCTAGAAAAGCCAGCAAGGCGAAGCAATGCTGGGGCAAGACTATTGCACCTCAGTGGTCCCTGAACACAAAGGGGGAGCTGGCACTCTTCCATTCCCACATGTGTACCAACAATGCATCCAATCTGTTTTCCTGGGCCAAAGCTTTCCCTTGCACCTTCTGGTCATTTACACATATGCAGCAAGCAGGTAAAATACTACCAGGTAGCCCTGGCAGCTACTGACAACCAGCCTATACAGACTTTTCACATTGTAAGAGGTATGTGGACAAGAATGGTCTAAGGCTATATTTATCTTTAATAATGCTTCCTTTTAAGATGATTTAGCATAGTCCCACAGATAGGTCTATATTTATCCAGGGGACCTTGGCGAGTTGGCTGAATTCCATTCAGAGATTTAGGTTAATGCATCTCATCTATCCTGTAAAAATAGCAATCATGCACCTGGAAGCAAAGCTTGGTTTCCAGGCCCCTTTACCTATGCCAGTAAAGGTACCAACTGCAGGTGCAGTTTACAAGAAAAGAGACATTACAGCAACAACTCCACAATTTACAACCCAGGATTATGAATTAAATATTCCCCATGAAAACATTTCATTCACAAAGCTGTGGGAAGAGGGAGATCATCTCATTTAGTACCAAAAAAAGAAAAACAAACCAAAAAAAACACCCAAACTTCTGACTCCAAACATGTATTTTGAGAATACGAAAGAATGATGACATTTTTGCTATGCCAGAAAAATGATCACATCTTGATTGATTATTTTGCTTTCTCACTTCCTTTTCCAAGCTGAAATGTCAACTATTTTAAGTAAAATCAGAATATTCTCAACCACAAACCAGAAAAAGAAACCTTGATGCCAGAGCTGTCATCAAAAAGGCACATTCCAGTTATATACTTGCAGTTTTACTATTGAGAAAACAAAGATGAAACCCTTCCAAATGCTTTGCTGCTTAATGACACAATCACTAGCATATTATTAAAGCTCAACACTCTGACATCCCAGTCATTATATCGGCGAACACTAAGACATTATGCAATGAGAAAACAATCCTTTTATTGAAACCAAGGATGTCTAATTGTGACAGGTGAATGTTTTAGCTACAGAGATGAAATCCATACACATACTATTTTTATGCAATGCTCATGTTCCATTTACACAATTTGCTAGTTTAAAAGGCTTTTACAGTCAATCAAGAGTTCAAGTATGAAACTTCATAACATATGAAAATTATATTGTGTTACTGAAGTCATCTAGACAAACAATACTTTCTGATTATGATGATATCATTATGTGCTTCACGATGAACAGCAAGACAGAAAACATTCACCTGGCTTCATATTCAAAGTAGCTGCTGAGATTCATGTATAAATGGATGAATGAACAGAAGGGTAATTGTGTATTATTTTAATATAATAAAGTCAAATTTATTCAAATTGGTAAGAAAAAAATGTGTTTCTTTGTATGTTGTGTGGAGTTCTGCCTTACTGAATTTGTGTTTGCTTATGATTCTGACAAGCTGCAAAAAGTAGATATAAATACCGTCAATGCTAAATTGTATCTCTATTCTTTTGCAAGCAAACTGTCACAATATTATGCTCATTGCAAAGCTTTTGAAAACTAATAGCTAAGTGAAACACTCGACTTAATGACTTGACATAAATATCTTGCAACAGAACTGTTTAAGCCATTGTAAAAACAAATCTCTTAAACAGTAGAAGCACATGCACCACACAAACAGGGAACCTGTGTGCACTGAAATCTCTCACAGCCTTGCCACTGACTTCAGTAAGAACTAGATCAAAGTAAAAACTTTCACTACTTTTATATTTCCTTTTGGATTGAGTCTTCCTTCCTTTAATTTCTTACTATACCCAGCCAAAGATGCACTCCTCCTAGAGAAAAAAGGTGAAAAAAGTGAAATGGTGCATTCCCTTTAATGTTAAGAAGTCAAATATAAAGCATGCCAAACAAATACTCTATTCAGATTCCTGAGGTTTTACTTTGGACCCTCACAGAAAGGCTTGGCTCAATAAAAAGGCAAACTCCACCTCCCAGCCTTGGCAATTGCCACAGCCCTTTCTGGTGAGGACAGAGCTGTTCTACTTTCCAAATACGACTGAAATCTTGAAAACATTTGAGCCCAATGTCAGGAATACTGAAATATACAACCAGTGCTTATTGATAACACTAAACAATATCAGTGTGTCTTTAGAATGTGGTTATTTTGTTTAAGCTTGCTTGGCAACTAATGCTCTACATACATACCCTGTCCAGGGAGGATGGCTCATTCTGTGAACTTTGGCTCATATCATTGCCTGTGGGAAAATATTATGTGAAGACACATCATCATTTTCGGTCACACCAAATCTAATCTTAATTGCAACATTCCAAGGAGTAAATAGGTAGTATTAGAATTCAAACAGATCTTCATTTTCTCAAGAAAAATATTTATGAAGGCAATAAAATGCAGAATGAATTTTTTTAACTTTATTAATCTAGTTTAAATAAAAAAGAGAAAAATGAACCCTGTTTACTCAGATTTGTTGATCTTTATCTAAATGCCTGCTAGAATTATTCTATTTGCTTTTTGTTGAATGAAAAATTCGGACCAATAGAAGACTTATCTCCTTGATTTGATGTTTTATAACACCTGCTAATTAGAAAGAAGGTATTAGAATTGGTGGTTTTCACCTAAATAGAGCTTAATAGCAGATTCTCAAAGCTTCTGAAAAGTGAGGTACAATTACAGTTGAGCATAGAGTAAAAGTTGGGAAGGAGGGATTGGTTGGGTTGGGCTTTTTTAAGTCACTGGAAATTACATATAAAGATAATGTTCTCCCTTCAGATGACAAAGAGAAATTAGTATTTGAAAAGAGAACGGGCCTTGTCCAGAAAGACAAGCTTGACAAAGCAGCCTGTTGCATATCTATAACAAACAGAAAGCAGATTAGCAGCCATTATGCTGAGATGGTAACTCTACCAAGGATATTCTATATCAACAGAAAATTGGGGTGGGGGTTTAACAATAACTTGCAATTTTGGAAGCAATCACCTATTATAGATTTCTACTTCTTTTTCCTTGTCTCTTTTTCTTGAAAGCAAGCAAACAAAAATCCTGGAAGACTTTTATTTTTCTTCATTTATCCTACATACACATTGATATATATGTCCTACATATACATCCAACATACACATTAATAGCTACTCAGAAAAACTTCTGCAGTGAGCTAAGCTGTAAGAGAAAGTATGTGGAAGCTGCTAGATCAAAACCTTTAGATTTGATAGAGAAGCAGAGTGTTACAGTGGCTTCTGCAGCAGGCTTATAGCAGAAAAATCCCTAAAACACTACTGATCTTGAAGACGCACCCCCAGCACCAAACTCCTCCTGGCTAGCAGGAAAGGGTGAGTCAGGAGGAAGGGTGCCCATGCCTAATGCTGTGTAATTCTTACATATCACAGGTACTCATACAGGCAAATAATCACTCACTCTATTATTGTGATACTGTGAGGGTGGTGAGGCACTGGAACAGGTTGCCCAGAGAAACTGTGAATGTCCCATTCCCTGGAAATGTTCATGGCCAGGTTGGACAGGGCTTGGAGCAACCTGGTCTACTGGAAGATGTCCCTGCCCATAGTAAGGGGATTGGAACTGGATCGTCTTTTAAGGTCCCTCTGACCCAAACCATTCTGTGATTACTGCAAACAAACAAATGAGCAGTAACATGGATGAAGCATGCACCAATATTGAAGTGGACAGCATTTTAAATGATGGCAAAAATAAGAGAATAAGGATTATCAGAGCCAAAAACCAGTTTCTATATGAGGAGAGATTTAGTAGACTGGAACTTCTCAGCATAGAAATATGACAGAGGCCAATGGAATCTTGATTGGCTTAAAGAATATGAATAGTACATAATTAATACCCGGCATCTCATAATACCAGCATTAATGAGGAGTTGGTTTTAAGACAAACAGAAGTTCTTTTCCACATAATGCAGAATATTTGCAGAATATATGCAGAATATGTTGCTGCAGTGTACTGTGGAATTTCTTTTAGTATTCCAGTAACATCCACTGCAGGTCATAGGGTACCTTCACAGGGACAGATTTCTGTTTTGAACCAGAATTGCAATTCTTCTGTTCTCATGAAAAAAAACATTTTGAGGGAGTATTTTCTTGTCACACACGTGGAAATCTAATCAGTGTGACACATACAACATTCAACAAAAAATAAGATACTGGCAACAATGGGTGTACTTCTCTGCATGTACTCCAACATGTGGAAAACTTCCATCAACAAAAATGTAAGCTGAAGTGTTGTGGGTGAATATGCCATTTTTAACTTGCCTAGTAACTCTTCATGGATTAGTATATTCTTTTTCCTAAAAACTCACCAGACAGTGAAGCCAGAAATTCCAATTACATTTGTAAGCATGTACTGCATTATCTGCAATTGTGCAGCAACTACAATGTCTCTAATTGAAGTTGGCTCAACGTAGAGCATCAGTTTTAATTCCTGAGTCATTTTCCAGTAATGAAATAGCTGTATTCAGGGCACAGTGTGAGAACATGTTTGATGGTTATGTTAAATTGTGCTACAGCTACCTTTGGGGAGCATGTAATTGCATGAAACCAACCACTATTTTCCTATGTGAAAAAAAACAAGTTATTATTCATAAAAGTACTGCCTTAGACACATGTGTGAATAGTAGTTTAATTATATTTTTTATGTGTTCAGAAAAACTAGCAGATATTTTATGTTCATGTCTTCTTTAACATTAGTCTGCAGCAGCAAAAACACCTGCCATCCTTCCTCCAAATTAATACATACAAGAACCTCAATGAAACACAAGGTTTTTTCAGATATGGCTAGAAATGTCTGAAGTATGCAATGAATCCCATAATTTGTGAGCTGTAAAACCTACTACTCAAAACAAACAGCTGAATGGGCCTTAAACCTAGAGATCTTAAGTCAACAGCTTGCGATAATAGTTTGTCTTCTCTTGTAAAGGAAACCATTATCAGTTCATTGCCTACCTTCTCCATTAAACTGTTTGCAAGTCAAGAGTCGACTTCTGAACTCTTCATTTTCTGCAAGCATTTTTGAAATGACTTTCCAGACCTTAGGCCAGACTTTAGACTGAAAGATAAAACTGAACTTTCTCAGTGAAGCACACAAAAAGTTTGCATTAAACCATTTATAGGGCAGAACTTTGAATTCTCCAGCATGATTTTGAAGTCCAGCTGTTTTTTTGCTGAGGATTGAGAAGGGGGAGCTGTGGAGTAGGGATATATATGGGGGATATACTGAAAGAATCATCTCTATTTAAAAATCAAAAGACGTAAATTTCTCCATGATTTTCCACAAGATCTCCTCCTGTCTTGTCTGAAACTCTTGTTTATCCAGGACTTGTGAAGTGCCCTTCTAGATAAGAACATCTTAAAAAACCTGTGTAGAGCCATTAAACTCTCCTCAAAGTCATCCAAAATGAAGGGGGAGTAAGGGGGGGGGGGGATACGAAGATTGCTTATTTTTCCAGGAGCAAAACTTTCCATGTAATCCTTCAACAACACTGTAATTCAGACCCCATGCTCAGATTCCAGAATAGCAATGGCCTTGCCTATTTCATATCAAATCCATATTCATCTGTTTTATAGATGTTGATGGCCTTTATTTTAGAGGCATAAAGGTCTGTCTATAATGGGTACATTTCAGACTTGTGCACTGAAAATATTAAATTGGAACTATTGATGAAGGCATTCAGACAGAGAGGCAGACTAACAAATGTAAATGACTGATAATATGCTAACGTTATGACTTTTACTAGACCCTATCCATGAAACTAGTTTAAATCTAAAGATAATTCCTTTCCCATGGACATTTATTGCTCAAACATAATACATAATACATATTCCTCATTCTTTTTGAAGACTATTTAATGTACTAGAAGAGTGATATTATAGTATGTTATTAGTTGTTCCCCTGAAGTCAGTAGTACTTTGCTGTTTTTAAATCAAGTATCTGTGACGTTACTATATTATTGTCTAGCTGATTACTTGTACTTCAAGCATTGCAAAATCTCCTAATGACTTACTGTTTTAATAAAGGTGTCTTTTAAAATGTCAAGCATTTGTTGAACTACTGAACAGGAACAGAAATACATTTGTGAATCAGAAAGTAATTTTGAATTGCTACTAGTATGGTGTTATTACCTCTCATTCTTGCCTTCACTTATTTGTAACCTGTAGGGTTTCTTTGCTTAAAACATAAAAAGAAGAGGAGCTGCAGAGCTTTCCTCAGCTGGGTTTGACCCAGCAAGGTGTGCAGCACCCTGGCCCAAATCCAGCAAAGCATTTCAGTACAGGCATTAAGTCAACAGCACACTCTCATTTTTCAAGGTAAGCACACACTTAAGTGCTTTATTGAATGAGAGCCAGAATTTTAAAACCTCCAGAGAGGGAAAATAACACCATTTTTCTTTTCTGTAAGTAAGGTTTTCAGTAACAGACTACCAATTCAATCTTTTAATCTCCTTCATGCTCTCACATAGACAGAATAAGCAGGAAGCAATTTTCTCAAATGCAAAGGCAGCTAATTCAGCTCTCATATTTTATACCTTTTGCTTCTTTCGTTTAATTACTTTATCAACATTTCTTGAAGGGAAGGGGAAGTTGAAGGTGTCAGCCTTGGCCTCTTGAAGGTCACCTAGGAAGAGAGTTTAGAAAGCATATTGTGTGTGAGTGTTTACAACATATTCCTGAGGAAGCTGTAGATCTTCCAGAGGGATACTTTTTTTCTGGTCCCAGCAGGTTACAGGATATCAGACCTTTCATTGTGTTAACTATCACCTTGCTTATTTTCTCCATTATACTGTGGGGAAAGTGGGTGTCTCAAACTCCACAAAACAGATTTCAAAACTGTACAGCAACCAGAAATTAAAACAGCAGGTTTCTGGGCAATACAAACTAGCATTTAATCACCTCTTTTTACCCTTCCTATGGCAGCTACTAAAATTCTGCCTGGGCTTTAAGAGGAGGTGAGTAGACTGAGGCAAGAAATCAAACAAAGCACTAAAAAACAGAAGCAAGAAGGACAGGTTGATCTTGTGGACTCAAACCAAACATAGAAGGAGGAAGGACTCGGGTGAGTTCCAGCTACCCAAGTAGCTGCTAGACAGGCATGGCATGAGCTGAGGAAAAGGGTGACCCATGTGGGGATGTTGAACAAGGTCACAGCCATGGGCTCATCACTTGCCACAGCAAGACTTCAGGCAAACCAGCTTCCTCCAGGGCAGCACAGCCTCACCACCAGGTGTCCAAGGCAGCCACAGAGCTCTTGAGTTACCCACAATCACAGGCTGCCTCTGAGCTACGGGTTAGCATCACTTAGATAATAACCCTCAGAATTGGTGCTTTTAATTGCAGACTAATGCAACATTTCACTTTGCCATCTTCAGAAAAATGGCTTTTAGGAGGAGGGAAAAAAAAAATAGAAGAAAATGAAAACATCTCAAGAGCAATGTTAACAAAACTCAGGCCCACCCTAACCGTGTCACCCTTCACTTCCAGCTCACATCTCAGCTTCTTCTGCAGAAGCCAGGTCATGTTCCCCATTTTCACCCATTTCATCCCATGCAGCAGAGCTGTTTCATAATGGATCACAGACAGTGGAAAACTGCCTACTTTTGTTGCTCACTTTTATAAAAAAAGGCACCCACACCCATGCCCATCCCAACTTTCTTTGGTTCCAGCCACAAAGAAAGAACATTAAGAAACATCTTTGAACTGTCACAGCAGCAAGGGGCCCAGCAGCACAGCGGCTCTCTGGTTAGGTGGGAATCTCCTGAGGAGAGGCAGGAAAGATCCCAAAGTTCAGTGTGAAATACAGCAGCCCTGTTGGACGTACCTTAATTCTGGCCTTATCGCTTCCACAGGGAAGGACGGGGAAGGCTGTACTGCAGGCAGCCACCTCACCTCACCTCATCTCACCTCACAGGATGGAGACACTGTAGCTGGACAGCATTAAGAGTTTGGGGCAAAATATAGCATTTTTCACTCATGTAAAAGTTTAACACCATGCTCCTCCTCCTGCCTCAGTACCAGTCTAATTGTACCAGGCGTAACAAGAAAAACATTGTGCCACCTTCAGCCCTCAGTGTGCACAGTCTCTGCCTGAGGGAAGAACCCAGTGAGACAGTATCATCAGCCATGCACCACACCGAAATAAACCATTTCCCACCCAAAAAGAAGACATGGTGCTGGCTCTGCCCTCCCGCGCCAGGGGCTCAGAGGTTCCAGGGTCCCGCTCCACATACCGTGAGGGTGGCTGACAGGCTCCTCCACACCACAGCTCCCCACCGCCTGCCTCCTGCCACCTGCAGCAGGCCCAGGGCTGGTCTTGTGCCCAGGCAGCAGGGCAGCCCTCTGTCTCCTGGCCTTCCCTCTGGGGCTCAGCTTGGAAATCAGGGACCCATCCCGGCCTGGCTCAGCCTCCGGGCAGCTGCTGCCATAGCGGATGACAGAGCCACAGCGGTGGGAGCCGAAGCTGTTGACATAGACGAGCGGCACACGCGGCCTCCCCTGGCTGCGGCCGGGCGCCATGTGTGGCAGGGCAGGGTGGCGGCGAGGCCCCGCTGAGGGGAGACAGGGGCTCTGAGGCGCGCGTGGTGGCTGCTGCACTGTGAGGAGCACTGTGGCGGCGGCCCCTTCCTCTGTGCAGGCACAGAGGGGACCTGCAGAGCTCCCATCCTGACCTATCCTGTCTGATTAGGGTTTGGTGCAGAGTATGCGGCCTGAAGTCATATATTGATCTACTTCATGCAAGTTATTGATGAAGCGATATAGGGGACTCCAGGCTGAAGGTAATGATGCATTGTTTGTCTTTGCTGTGACTTACAAAAGGAGAACAAGCAGCATCTCTGGTGGTGGGTGCTTCTGCACTGGAACACTGCTGCTGCATTGATACACCAAGTTTCCACACCACATACTCGCAACAGCTTACCTGCTTGTGCCGGGTGGGTGGCTCCAGCAACCCGCTGAACAGTGCTCATGAAACATCTAATACCTGTTGTCATTCTGTCCTTCAAGCAACAGCAGGCACACGGGGCATTGTGTGATAACCAGGGGATGCCCACCGCAGTCAGGATCAGTCAGTCCTTCCCATGGTTTCCTGCAGAGATGTGCCCCGTAGCAGCAGCAGGATCATGAGATATGGCCAGTGACGAGTGGGATGTCTCAAGCCATTTAAAAGCACAAGTCTCATTGATTTTATTATTTATTTTTTTTTGCTTTGGCACTGAAATACTGCTCCATATTATTTCAGAGTTTCAGCACACTGCACTGCTCAGAGGAGGGAAATTATTAAGAGTCAGAATAAATGCTATGAAAAGACCCGTTTCTAATTGTTTTAGCAGCACCAGCCATATGAACGATGTCGTCCTGGTGGGAAGAGCACGAAGCAAACTGAAGGCTTCCCCCAGCCTGTGAGGAGGCTGAACGAGGTCTCGGGGCTGCTGTCCCCTGGTCCCCTCGCCGGGGTCCCTTGGCAGGGCCGGGTGCTGCACATGCGGACCCCGCGAGGTGGCAGCCTTACCTACGGAACCAGCCCGCGGCCCCGCTCCCTGGCCGCAGACCCGGAGCTCAGGGCAGGCAAAAGACCCACACTGGCCAGTGTCCCAGGATTTCCAGCTATTTCATACACTGTCAGGGGGGAGGAAAGAAAAAGGCATTCCGCGTACGCAGCTGAAAAGAGGAAAACAGCTTCCAGAGGCACAGCCTGACGGTTTGCCAGAGGAAATCGTTATTTCCCAATAAAAGGGCATCTACTGCAGGCCCTGAAGTGTATGGACTAAAAAGGAGGTCACAGATAAGATACAACCATCGAGGCACTGGGCTTAAGATCGAATGTGATCTCAAAACCATTCAAACACCAGAGACTCCCTCCTCCTCTGCAAAGACCTGAGCTAACAAATGGTCCCAGTGAGGCAGCAGCCAGAGAGTTCAGTGTGGGGGTATTAAACCCAGAGAGAGGCAACCAAATAGCTTCATTAAAAACTGATCCTGGTGTGCAAACTTTGTCACACATATTAATCACAATGCCCTGGTAATGAAACCACCCCTTTTGCTCAAATACAGAGGTCTCAGTCCGCATGACAAAAAAGCATCACTGAACACATGCACACAAAACAGCACCATTATCATTCCATGCCTGTCTTCCCATTGTGTGTGAACACTTGCTGCTGCATCTTCCTGACCCAGAGTTCCTTTTGCCAACTGGCAGACTGCTTCCTTCCTATGGCCTCAGCGGGGCAGCAGGGCTGCCAAATCAGTGGTTTTCTCAGCGTCTGTTATTTATGGAATAGGCTTCCACCCTGCTAACACAAATACACATGCTTTGTGTGGCACAATTTTTTCCACTTCTCCCAACAGCACATTGCCAGGACTTTGATTTCAAATGCAAATTCAGCTCAGATCCCTTTAGGAATCTACTGAGAAAAATCAATGTCACCCAAAACCTATGAGTGGTCTGCAGATCTGGAAAATTCAGCTGTTTTAGCTGCACACTGTTCATCCTCCTTTCCACATGTGTGGACTACCAGCCAGCCACTATCTTTGTATTTATCACTTGGAACAAACATCTCAGCTTTTCACATCTTCAACTGTCTAGTTAAAAATAGACCTGATTCTAGCTTTCAGCCTATGCCTCCTCACGCTGTTTGTTTTGTATTCAAATGTCAGCTTCTCCAGCTCAGAACTTGCATTGTTTCCTGAATTTTATTGTTTCAGTTTTACTTTAGCCAAGCATGCACCACCATCTATTTACCTTGACTATCATTTTAAAATAAGGTAGGTTTTGGTGGTAGCAAGCCTACAGCTTATGCCAAGGAGAAGAAAGAAGCCAACAGGACACTGTGGGATGCATATTTAGTGATTCCCTGCAAAAACAAAACTCCTTCTACTGCTGGAGATTTGTTCTTCTATGAGAATTCTTTGCAGCAGAGTTAAAAACAAAGTACTTGCATGATTCAACATAATTCAGGCAAGGCAGATTGCTTATTAAGTGCTACATTATCTTGATCAAATGCAAATTGTGAATACACCTGAAATATGAATCTTAACACTGTTAACAGGGATTTTTACCTGGAAAGTATGCTAATTCCGACAACAGCTACAGTCAAACCTTGTTAATTAGACCCTCAGCAGTAGCACAAACAATTATTGTATCTCCTTCTTTTTCACAGAATAAGAAGAGTCGCTGGAGTGAGGTATTTTATTAGAATGGGGTTACTTTACAGAAGACACTGGGGACCATTTATTAGTGTAACTAGGAATCATTATAAAAAACAAAACTCACCGCTTCTGGTAAATGGAAGCAATGCATTGTGCCTTCAGCTTTTGCTTACTTGTAAAATTTCATCATTTACAATGGCTCTCACAGTTAATTATGGAAGCAATAACACAGTGCAGCAGAGAGATAAAATGGCCAGCTGCCATTTTAACACACCTGCATTTCATATTAATGAACCTGCATATCTCAGATTGTTTTACAAACCATGCTTGTGGGAATCGCTTTATCCACACCAGTCGTAAGGAGAGGCATATCTTCCCATTTCTCCATGCTGCGCATAAAAATATTTAGCGGACTAAAAACTAAGTTTGTGACATAAGAGCCTGAGCCTCCCCGTGAGAGATTTTCAAATCACTGAGAAGATCCACAGACTTCATAATCAAAACCCAAACCGAGGAGAGTGAAACCCTTGTCTTGGAAGAACTTCATGTTACAGTACTTAAATAGAGATTGACAATCCCAAATAAAGCTATGGGGAAAAATCAAAGAGGCAAAATGCGCACTGAAGATAACATGGGAATTAAACAACCTTATTTCCTGGAAAGATTTTTATCAAGTGGATACAGCAAAAGGCAGGCAAGGACTTCAGTTTCTCCGATTTCACTTTTCCACACACATGTTCAAGTTGCTGGTACTTAACAATGACATCCCTTGTTTCCATATCAGAAATAGTAAAACTTTATCAAATTTTAGGTTGCAGAGACTATGATCTTAAATGTTACTATGGCTGTTCCAGGGAATGTGCAGTTAGACCTTACATGAACACACGGATGAGGAAGTTCAGTCCTACCTACAATAAACCTCCAGATATTGTCTCTCAGATCCTGGGAGAACATAAAAAGCAAAAATCACTAAATCACCCCCAGCATTCACCAGTAATGTAGATCTTCTGAGACCATCTGTCCCAGCATGGAAAGCCCACGTTTTCATAGCCTCTCCTCAGAAACCTAACACGATCTCAGGCCAAAGTGTGCCTGCAGGCTAACATAGTCACCAATGCATCTGTCTGCATATACAAGACAGTCCATTTCACTGCAGTATAAATACCACTGAACATACTCATTCCTCAGCAGTAAGCCCACTTTGTAATAGCACTAGGGTCTTTGCAGAACTGTTCCAGATACTTAATATTTACCCTCTCCCTGCCCCCAGAGATGTGAGGATGCTGCCAGAAAAGGAACAGAGCAGGGTTTCTGTCTCCAAGGATTGCTAGCTCTTCTGGGAAAATGGAAGCAGTCACTGCTTTGTTCTTCTATCACATTCCTCTGAAGACATCCCCCTGTAAAAGCAACACTTGAGCAAATTTTCTTGCCACTGACTGAAGAGCTGATTCCATCACTGTGTACAGAGCAACATCTGCCTGTGAACAGCTGGCCTTGCTGGAGCAGAGCTGGGGGCTACTGCCTGCTGCTTACAATGAGAATGCTCCTCGGAACCCTAAAAAAAATCACATCTTACTAAAAGAAAATTCAGAAACACTTGGCACGAATGTACTCCATACACAAACCAGTGCTGGGCATGTGCTTAAAGCGACAAGCACTGTCTTGAAAAATGACACTTGGCTAAATTGACAACTTAATGCTTTCACATGCATAAGCAAGGCATAAATGATCACTAAGCAAACTGATCCTGGTTCATGAGTCAGCAGCAGTGTGAGATGGCGACTTAGATTGAGCAAACATTTTCTCAGCCTTTGGGTTGGAGAAGTTTGGAGGAGACTTTATTTTAATGCATTGCTCTATGTGTGAATTGCTGCCCCTCCACAGGTTACAAAACTGTGTTAGGAGCTGCACTCAGCATGTGTCAACTGTACCTACACCATCAGTCTGCCGTTTAAGTATTTAAGTAAAAGCAATGTTCTTTACTCACACAAAAAGCCAAGCAACATAAGCTGCTATATAGTTTTGGAATAAAAAAATGCCGCATAGCTAAGAGTGATAAAAACAAGTCCATTTTAAACATTAAGATTAATGCAAGACCAAAAATGTGCTCTCACAGTTACACTTTACCTGCATCGTGGGTTTAATCTCAGCTTTCATGACTCACCAAAATTAAAATTTCAGCAAGAAAAATACAATCCAGCACAGACCTTATGTATTTCCATATTGTACATAACACCAGGAGGACTGAGAACTTTCGACTGGCAAATTTTGTGAAGGAACCTTAACAGAATAGTTACGGTTTCTGAAGCGCCCTATACAAGGTGACTGAGGGAGCTTCCCGTAGCGATACATTCAAATAAATTAACATTTGTTATGAAACTCTCTCTCTGAAAAGCTCTACAAA